TCCCATTTCACAGCTGGAGATAGTGGGGCTCAGAGAGGCCCAAGGTCACACACTGAGTAAGTGCACAACCAGGATGTAAATGACAGGTGTGCCTTGACTCAGAATGTCTGCCACACCAATGAGTTGCAATCTTTTTCATTTTTCCTCACAATTTCAAAACTTGGTTGGAAGAACTGAAGGAGGAGGCTTGAAGCTCTGCCCACTGGCCCTCTCCATCTCTCCCTCCAGCCATCCCCTGAGGTTCCACCCTGCATCCGTCAGAAACCTCTGTGCCCTCTGTCAGACCAGGGCCCTCCTGGATTATTAGATGTGCAGAAAAACACTCTGGGAGGCCTTGAAGCTGCACCTGCCAGGGTGGGATCTGCCCAGGGACCCCGGAAATGCATACAGAATCATTCCCAAAGTCACTTCCCCACTGTGGGCATCCCAGCTGGCTCCCTGGAAGGAGCACCCCAGCTGCCCCGAATTGTTTGCTCTTCAAGCATTACTCCCAACTCTTTACACACCGTCCTTCCGACCACAGTGCCTGCCTTCCCACTGCCCCACCCCCACCGTACGTGCCAGAAGCCACTTTAACAATGGTAGAATAAGAAACTGGGGGCTCTCCCTCCAGTCCTTCAGAGGCCACAACCCCCTCCCAAGCTGGATGTTGACAAAGCGAAAGGGTGAAAGAGCATTTGGCCTCCCTTGATACCCCCTTCTCATCAGCTGCTGTTTCTCCATCCACTGACCACAGCCCTAAGCTCCCCCTATTCTGGGGGTGCACTCACCAGAAGGCTAATGTTGGCCCAGATTCCCTTAGCTGATGTGCCCCTCTCTTCTTCCTGCAGCACAAGAGGGATCATCCATCCCCCCAAGTTTGGTTCGCCTTTGGGTGTCTCTGCTGCTGTCACCCATTCTGCCCCAACTGCAAGCTCAGGGGTGGCCTTGCCAGGAGAACTCAGTGCTGAGCCCCCTGTGGGCCTAGAACTCAGAGGCAAGAGAGACGCACTACCAAAAACACCATCCTTCTCCCCACTCTTACTCCACCCCCATTTCACGCAAGGGAAAAGCCACTCACTGGCTGACTGCTGCTGAGGCTGACAGCAAGATGCTCCTCACAGAGGGCAGGGCTCTTGGCCTGGCTAGGTGAGCATGCAAATCTGTATGCAAATTATATGCAAACCCAGGGCCTGCCCTTGGGTTCCTGGCACCCTGCCATCTTTCCTGCCTGTGGCTCACCCCTTTCAGGCACCTGGGTGCTGGTTAGAATCTACCGAGCTAGGGGCTGAGAAAGCTTTCCTCTTGACTGCTTCCAATGTCCCCAAGAAACATTTCCTCCAAGATCATGTGGTAGGGAAGACTCTCCCAGCCTGGCCTTCATCCCCCGAAAAAAAAGCTGGCTCAACGTCCACCCTCCCTTCAACTCATCCACAAATAAAATTATCCTTCACCAGGCTGAGCAGGGCACCAAGCAAGTCACAAGGATAGAATTCTGGAAGACCTGGAGAAGGTAAGGGGGGCTTGAGGTCTGCACCCTTCTGTCAAAGGCCAATAGCCCATGAGGTGCCCTGTGCAGACAGCCACCCTATGTCTCGGGACTCCAAGCCTGCCTGCTGGCGGGGCTTGCTTCTTCAGCAAAGCACTGCTGGACGAACCCCCCCACCCCTACCCATTTGCTTGCCCACCTCCTCTCCATTCCTCAATCTGAGAAAAATAAGCCTCTTCAGCCAGTCTCCCAGGATCTGCTCAACTTAAGAGCTGCCTTTGGGTCAACTGCTTACTTGCTTTTTGTTTCTAATTGAGCTCCCCAGTCTGCTGCAGAAATATATTCAAGGCAGCTGACTTTGATGCCCAGAAATATGAAGCATCTGAAATTATGGCAATCTCGTTCTCCCCCATGTTATTCTGCACCCAGGGCCTCTCTGCCCACCTCCCCCACCCTCCCCGGCCGCAATGCTCACTGATCCTTCAACCTGCTTCCCTTAAGTTGTGTTTGCCATTTCAAGATTTTAAGAACACATTCCCCGAGTACCCCCCCACACCTTTTAATTAGACACTGAACAGAGTGTTAGAGATTTTCTTAATGGATTGACGAAGGCTTTTAATTTGGTCTTCTCAAGAGAGAACCATGAGTCCCCATCCGAGAGGTTGGGGTGGGAAATGAAAAAAAAATCAATGCAACCCATTATTTTGGCTTTTAGAAAACAGGAATTTTAGTGCCGGGGAAGCTTGTTCTTTTACACAGTAAAAATGCAAATGCAGGCAACACAGATGCTGGCACGCTGGCTGGAACAACGGAGACAGCCTCGCTGGGGTTCATCCGGCTGCCCAAACCTGGATTTGTTTTGGCAATAATAAGGCAGTTATTGGAGACTCGATAACCGATTATTAAAACACCTTCCCAGTTTAGTTCTGGGGAATCGGTCTGAGCTCAGGCTTCATCAAAAAAGGTATTTCGAGAGGAATGGAAATAACAGAAGCTTAAAACACATTCAATAACTGCTTAATTCCATCCAGAGGACGCTCCATCTCATCTTGTTTTCTTCGCCTCTCTCTCTCTGCCTCCTCCTGCTCCTCACAGATGGACGTACAAATTATTGCAAGAGGATATTGTTTTCTGTAACAGGCTCGAACACTCACATTTACATTTTTCTTGGTGCCGCGGGGGTGAGTGGCAACGGGAGAGAAAAATACACCAAACCCCATCTCCGCTGCTCTCGCCACATCGACATCTTCCCCCAGCCGCCTCCGCCACCCCCACCCCCGCGCCACCCCAAGGAGAACTGGCCCTGGGGACCAGCCTGGCACCTAAGACCCAATTAAGGCACGAAGGCAAAGAAAGGCCTGTCTGGCAAATCGCCCTGGCGCCCAACGCAGACGCTGGAGCCTCTGAATGGCAGGGACGCCGGGGATCTGCAGACCTAAAGGCCACTTAGGTGCCGCCTCACCTGGCACCTGCAGCCTCCCACCGGCCCAAGGCCAGGGTGACTTCCTCCTCCCCTCGGAAAGGATTTGGCCCCTCAGGCTCTCCAGCGGCCTTCTGGGCCTTTCTTCACCTCCACCCCCACCCGCCCCTTCCCTATCAGATGGCTTGGGCTTTATTTATTAATGCCCGGCTTCTGGAAGGGGGTGGGGAGAGTCCAGCAGGTATTTGCTAAGGGGCCTCCACGCCTGGGGATGGGCTGCTCCCAGAGAAGTCTGCAGAAAGGGGGCGGGGGTGTAGAGTGGACAAAGCTGGGCAAGAGTGTGGCAGCAGCTCTGGCCTGTGCTCTCTCCCCTGACAAACCCGAAAGGGGTGGTGGTTGGAGAGAGAACCATCCAGAGAGAAAGCTGCCGCTCCTCACCTTATGTATTTTTAATATTAATGTAATTAAAGCTGCGAGCGGAGCCAGCCTGTGGGGGCGGAGGGAGGCAGGAAGAGCCTGGGGAGAGGGAGACTTTGGGGGTGGGGGTCCGCAGTTGAACCGGAGACAGGCTTCTTGCTCCGCTGAGGTGCGGTGAGAGGTGCTTGTGTGGGAGGGCAAGGGCCTAATCGGCCTAGACCAGCCTTGGTGTGTCACCCCGTGGACCCCACTGGGTCTGAGAAATTCAACTACTTTGTCCACAATTCAGAGGCCAGCCTCGCCGCACCTCGGTCTCTAGGCAAACCCCAGCAGTATCTCGGCCTTCAGTCTGGCTTTGACCTAGCGGTATTTACAAATAAAATAAGGGTCACCCTCGTCCCCCAAAGCCGAGAGATATGGCAGTCAGCTCCGGCAGGTTGCAGACTCCAGACCCCTGGGGCGTCGTCAAGGAAAGACTGGACCCCTTCCGGAGCGCCAACCTTCCGCTAGATTGCCCTTCCCCCATCGCCTAGGGGTCAAGAGTTGCAGCCGGGCCAGGGCAGGCGCCTGGGCTAAAGAGGGAGAGGCCGTCCCTCTGGGCGCGAAGGAGAAAAGTTAGAGGGCTGAACAGGTAAAGCCGAGCTTGCACGAGCGTGTGTGCTCCGCCGCGCAAGGGCGCGGAGTTCGGCCGCTTCGTCTCCCGCCATCTGCGCGCCCGGGGGGGCACGTCCTCCGCGATCTCCTGGAAGCCCGACCGCCGGGGAAGGCCTGGTCCCGACTCGGTGCCCAGGTGACTCTGGTCGGAAATGTCTGGCCGCTTCCAACCCCTAGTCCCAGCTACCTCGAGGATCAGGTGCGCAGCGCCCCAGCAGCAGGTCTGGACATGCTGGACACCTGGACCCACCCCTAGCAATGCCTTCTCTCCGAGGAAAGCGACACGCCCCCCCAAAAAACCGAAGGCTCGTCCCCATGTCCGCTGACCAGGCGCCGAAGCGGAGATCTCGCACCTTGGGGTGCGCTGCCGGAGGTGGCCAGGCGGCGCGGTGAAGCCAGGGCTAGTGCCCGGGGCAGGGGGTGAGGTGGGGCTGGGCGAAATCGACCTCTGGGTTTGGAGAACAAACTTGCCATTCGCGGGACCCCAGGTCTCGGGACCCCCGGCTCTCTCCGCCCTCTATCCAGCCAAGGCGCGAATAAGCGCCATGCGGCGCTGTGCAGGGAGTCCAGGGAGGCTGAGGGGCGCGCGGCGGCAGAGGGGGAGTGAGCCGCGGAGTCCGCGGCCAGGTTCGGCCAGGACTCCCAGGTGAACAGTCACGGCCTGAGGAGCCCTGGACTCGGAGGGCACCCCGGGGCCCCAGCGCCACCCAGCCGCAGAAGGCGGGCCAGGGGCTGGGGGAGGGGGCCGGGCAGAACCGCGGCCCGGCACGGAGCGGGGAGATGAGGGGCTGGTTCACCACCGCCCCACCGGGCGCGCCCCAAAACCGCAGGCGCGGGTGGCTGGCCGAGCGGTCCAGGGCGGATTCTCACCTGGCCGCTCTCCGGGCGCCCGCCCCGCCCCCGCTGCTCCCCACCCCGGACCCGGCATTGGGGTCGGTCCCCCCCGGGCCCCTGGGGCCCGCGCGGCACCTCGCCTCGCCGCCAGCCGCACGCCTCCCGGCCCCGCTGCCTCCGCCGCCCTGCTGCCCGCGCGGGGCTCACCTTTGTGTAAAGAGTCCAGGAGCAGGAGTAAAGTTACCAGCCACATGCCATAAAGAGGCCCTTTTCTCCGGGGAGGTGGTCCTGTGGCCGGCCGTGCGGCAGCGCCTCTCCCCCGCTCAGCGCGCTCCCAGCCGCCCGCACTCCGCGCCCCGCTCTCTCCGCTCCTCAGCCCGGCGCTCGGCGGCGGCGGCGGCGGCGGCGGCGGCGGCTCCTCCCTCCTCGGCTCCCTGGCTCCTGTCATCCGCGGGGCTGGGCTAGGCGGCCGCGCTCCCCTCCCCCCCCGCGGCACCCCGGCTGGGGAGCGCCGCGCGAGCCCTGAGCCCGGACCGTCCCCAGCCCCGCAAGCCCGGGCACAGGGGCGGGGGTCCGGCCCTGACGGCCCTGACCGGGGTGTGCCGTCTGAGAGGCGAGAGGGTTCCCGCCACCCACCGGCTAGGAGCCTGCGGTCGGTCGCACACAGGCTTGTGTCGTACGTGTGCCAAGAGCCCGCCCTGTTCGGGCCAAGGACGCCCGGTGTCTCCTAGCCCAGTCACCTGGGGTCGATGCTTCTGACCTCTCTCGGGCTCAGTTTACCCCTTTGGAAGGCGTAGGATGGATGCTGGGAGTAAAATCTAGACTGAGACCCTCTGGTGCTGCCCCACCTCAAAGCTGCATGCCCTTCCAACCCCAAGTTACGTCTGCCAGTCTGCCACCCCAGCACTCTGTGGGAATTTTCCTCGCACTGGGCACATGATGATTAGCTAGACATTGTTTGCAATAGTTTAATGTCTGCTGTATCTCGTACATCGCATCTTCCTCCTTTATCTTCACCTACCCCCACTACCTCCACCCTACAGTTTTGTCACTATGCAGAAACTGGTTTATTCCTTATACCAATCTGCATAAAGTTGGCATGGAATTAAACTTGAGGGCTTGAGAGAAGGTATCTTTTCAGTTACAAAAGGAATGTTGAGTGCTTGCTGTGTGCCAAGCAATGGGTTAGGCACTGGGGACTGAGGCATGGCTGTCAGGACCGCTGTGAAAAGGCTGTGATGGTTGGCAAGCCCTCCTCATGTCGTAATTCCAAAACAAGGGCCTGCACAGGATCCAGAGGAGGGGTCCTTCGTAGCCCTGTGAATGGAATAAGCTAGGACTGGACCTCCTCTCCTAAAGGGTACTGGAGGCCACCTTGATGCCCCCTGGCCACTTGGCTGGGCACAATTTTGACCCAGTTCTCTTAGGTGTGCAGTGGGACTGGAGAACGGAGGAGGGAGAGAAGGAGAGAGGCTGCAATTTAGCTCCACTTGAGAGGAAGAAAATTTACTTCCCCAAAATGCCTTGCTCTGGATCAGACAGGAGAACTAGAATCCCAGGTTTTGCCAAAATATCCCTAGAGATTTTAACTAAAATTTATAAGTGGGAATTTACTTTTTAGAATTTGTTAAAATATACATGGTATAAAATTTACCGCTTTAACTGTTTTTAAGTGTATTATTCTGTGGCATGTAGTACATTCACAATGTTGCACAATCATCACCACCATCCATTTCCAAAACTTTTCATCATCCAAATAGAAACTCGGGACCCATTAAACAGTAACTCCCCATTCTCCTCTCCCCGCCAGCTCCTGGTAACCACTAATCTGCTTTTCTGTCTCTACGAATTTGCCTCTTTTAGGTACTTCACATAAGTGGAGCCATGCAATATTTGTCCTTTTGTGTCTGGCTTATTTCACTTAGCATACTGTCTTCAAAGTTCATCCATGTTGTAACATGTGTCAGAATTTTATTCCTTTTCACAGATGAATAATATTCCATTGTGTGTATAGACTACATTTTGCTTATCTGTTGGTTTGTTGGTGGACACTTGGGTTGCTTCCAATTTTGGGCAATTGTGAACAAGGCTGTGATGAACATGGCTGTACAAGCATCTCTTCCAGACCCTGTTTTCAACTCTTTGAGGGGTGAAAATCGCTGGATGGTATGATAAATCTATTTTTAACTGTCTGAGGAATTGCCAGGTGCCTTGACTTTTTTTTTGCACAGTGCATTAAGAGTTTAAAGGGCTCTCACCTGTGGTTGCTCTGTGTAAAGCTCCAGAAAATATTGTGAAGGTTAGCTCCACCTTTTAACACAGGTGAGAAGAGTAAAGCTTAGCTTGCTCAAGGGCACCCAGTTTGTATCACAAGCGAGACCAGAACCTGACTCTCCTGTGAGAAGAGCTGCTTGCTGTGCCCGGCGCTGTCCCCGGAGTGGCCCAGTTCTGAGACACTAAGTCACCACTCCAAGGCAGATGCTTCTCCACGAGGTGTTTTGTCCTCTGTGAACAGAGGCACGGGGCAGATTGCAACAGGTGTTTGAGATGACCCAGCCCCCTGCTGTACAGACGAGGAAGCTGAGATCCAGAGCCAGGAGTGATGGACCCGCCTGAGGTCACGCAGGCAGTGACAGAGGCCAGCCATCTACAGTCCTCTGGCTGAGAGCTTCCCTCCCCGCCTGCAGCCTGCTAGGCTCATTCTTCCATCATGTCCCTCCCCTTCTAAAGGAGACGGTTGCTGAGAGGAATCCAGTTATTTAAAACTAAGCCTATTGACCCAGAGCACCTGGTCAGGCCATGCCTAAAATAAACTGCTAAGTCAGACAGGATGAAAGGGGCTGCTGTCTGTTGGGGGGGGTGGGCCCCGAGTGGGCCTGGGGGTGTCAGCACAGCTGCTCGTGCCCCACGTGCTGGAAGGAGAGAGGAGGACCCTCTTCTCTCCATTTACCTGCAATGCATCCTATAACCCGAGTGTCCCTTTTATGCTGCTATACCTGCAGGCCTTTGAGGGACTCCAGCACTATGTGTAGAGAGTCAGGTGTTACCTGAAGGGTGAGGTCATTCACTGTCCCCTGAAGAGGTGGCGTGGATATGGGAATTGGGGGTGGGCAGGTGAGGAGGGCAGACTCCAGACTCTCCTGCATGAGGGGGCTTTATAGTGTCATGGAGACATTAAGAGCATGGCTTTAGAATCAGTGCTGAGGTCTCAGCCCAACACTGCCACCTTCTAGCTGTGCCCCCTTGAGGAATTACTGTGGGCCAAGCCCCCGTCCCCTCACCTGTAAAGTGGGGACAGCCTCGGAGAGCTGTTATGAGGATTAAATAAGACAAGCCCTGTGGCTGGCTCGCAATAAGCCCTTTAAATACGTCTATCACTAATGTTACTGGCTTTGCTCAGAGGACCTTGACCTGTAGGCATGGGGGAGGGAACAGCTCAACAGAGGGGGTGTTGGAATGATGTCCTGTACACCACACGGCAACAAGGCCAGGAATTGGGAATCCAGGAAGAGACCACGGAAACACGGAAGGAAGGTGCACTCACTCGGACCTGGAAGAACACGGAGTGATCGTCTGCATGGAAAGGACCTGAAAACAGACAGTCCTTATGTTTTTGTATTTTCCATTTCCCAGGTTTGGTCCCTCCTTAGTATTTTGGGAAATATCTTTGAAAGTGACACTCTGGCTCAGATGTGTTCAGAAGTCCCCTCTTGACTGGAACTGTATAGGGGGAGCTAGCTTGGCAGAGTCGGCAAGAAGCCTAGCAAGGGAACCCAAGGGAAAAGCAGGCCTCCAGGGAAGACACTGGGATGCTGGTTCACCCACGCCCATGCAAAGCCTCAGGCTCTCCTCCCACAGCCGACATCTTGGAAGGGCTATTTTTTTTATTTTGGAAAAAAAGGGATAATTTCTTCAAAGTCCCAACTTGGATGGAAGCCCTCACACCCACACACAGATAAATGCACGCCGATGTGAGAACAAACACAGTTGCCCAGGCAAACACCCATGTGCATAGGTAAACAGAAACACCAATGACAGACACACCTGTGCTCGGACGCAATCTGAATACAATCCAAACACTCTGCACTGACACCTATGCATATGCTTTCATATATTTTTTTTAAGCCTCAAATGTGTGGGATGTATTTCCAGGAGGGACACACCGTCCATTTAAACACTGATTAATTTGAATATTTTGTTGTCAGAATTCTGGGTGATGGTGTAGCCGGAAGGTGTGGGGGTGGGTATGTGTGTGTTTTACTGATGATGGCTGAAGCAGCTATATGAAGGCACTGGGAGGCGAATCCTTCCCAATTCAGGTTAATCATGGACATCTGGGGGGTAATATTTTGCCATGTTATATTAGGACTAGAGCCATCAGGAGAAAACAACAGATGTTTTTATTGTTTAACTCAAACAACAGCTTATATATTTCAGATACTTTTCTTCAAAAACCAAGGTATGTAATTATTTTAGCAAAGCTTTCTTATGTGCTCTGAAATTTTTTTTAACAAGTTCAGTATAAATACGGTTGTCATAAAAGGAATCAATACTGAACCAGGTCAATGGTAAAAACTTGACATTTGGGGTTATAGAGCTAATTCGGGATTGACCTTCATAGTACTTATTTATCGATTGGAGGAGAAAAAAAATAAGGATTTCCCTGCCTTTTTTTTTCAATTTGTAATTGATTTAATGTTATATGAAGAGTCCTGGACTGTGATTCAGAAAGCCTGGGTTCTAGTCCCATCTTTGCCACCTTAGCCAGCTGTGTGATCTGGGACAAGTCACTTTGTCTTTCAGAGCCTCAGTTTCCTCACCTACACACATTCTCTAATGCAGGCAAAGAAACAAAAATACGTATTTTCATGCACAACACTCCCGAACCAAACAAACACCAAAACCCCACACCAAATAAACCACCTTTCCTTCAAATGCACACACGTATATTTTAAACACTTCTGTCTTCTTGAGACAGGGTGAATCATTGCAGTTCCCAGACTACGATACCTATATCTGAAGGTAGTGCGGGTCATTAAATTACCCAGATGCTCCTTAAACCAAAATTCTATACATGTAGCTCAGAGGATGTCTAGGTGTGTTTCACCACTTATCCTCTCAACGTTTTGGCTTGTAGCATCGTGGTTCTAAGTCCACTGAACAAAGAGGCCAAATCCCTGAGTCCGTCCTCCCCGCCACCCAACAGATAGGTCCTTGGGGTCTCAGTGCCCTTGTTCAGGACACTGTCTCAGGACAGTTGGTCAGGGTGTGAGGGAGCCCTTTCATCAGCCATGACCTCTCTCCTGCCATCCTCTCTGCTCCCAACCCTGAAACTGCATGAAAGGCCAACCCATAGATGGTCCATGAAGCCCAAATGCCGTGGAGCTGAAGCTCTTTGCCACGTGTCTCTCTAGGGGTGGGGAGGAGAGGAATGGGGAGAGTCTAAGTAAGAAAAAAAGACAAAAATTCCCTGAATGAGGGCTAATTTTGCTGGCTCCCCAGGTCACCTTGCAGTTCTTCTGACCCACGAGCCACTCACAAATACGTTCATCAGATTATATTTAAGCATTGTCTCTCCTGGAAAGCGGATATACTATGTTTTTCACTCCTTTCTCAAGTACCAGGGCCCCTTCTCCACCTGTGTAAGCCTCCTCTTCCTGGTCAGGCACCCCCAGCTATCCTGGACCAGCCTGGACCAGCCCTCCTCTGGGCTCCGCTTGCCCCAGACGTCCGAGTGGCCTGTGGCTCTCATCCCTTTGTCCTGCATTGTGATTATTTACCCACACATCTGACTTGTCTCCTCTTCCAAACACTAGGCTCCAAGCACGTTCAGTCTGTACCTGCAGAGCCTAGCCTGATGCCTGCCTGCACTAGGGGGCGCTCAATGTCGATTTCACCACCAGACAAGTTTGTTCTTAAGCGTCTTAGAGGGTTGCAAGTACCTCACTGCAGCTTCACCGGTCATGCCCTCCAGAGGCATGTCCTTAAAGGGGAATCAAAGCCTTAAGCTTTGCCCTTCTCATGTGAGAGTCCCTGGCCTGGAAGGGTGCGCCAGGAGCTCCAGGAGTACTGACCTGAAGCCTCAGTCTTGGCAGATCCCTGCTCAGCCAGCATCACCAGTGTCTTCCTCGTTGTCACCATCATGCAGGGCTTTTGGGATCCAAAGACTTCACATTTGCTTTCACTTCAGATCCTCATCAAAAACAGATCAGGCCACAAGTGTTTTGTTCATTGTACAGATGAAGAAACTGAAACTCAGACAAGTTTGTGATGTGCCCAGAGGCAGATCCACCATGAAACAAACACAACTTAAGCTCCAGGGTCCTGTAGCGCCCAGATAATGTGTTCACATGGCCAAGCAGTACTAGTAATTCGGTTGACTACTGTGGATAGCCTACACTCAATTCTGACTGTTTTTCTGCTCAGTGTGCATTTGGGGTCTGGTGTACATTTGGGGATGTGACTCAGGATCCCCCAAAGCGAGTGAGAGAGGAATTCATTTGATTTGGGATTGGCGAGATATACTTCTGGGCACCAGTACATGGCCATCCCAGGGTAGGGAACGGCTGCAGGAATACGACCACCCACTGGGCCAGCTCACTTGGCTTTGTGACATAAAGCTGCAAGGCCAGGAGTTGTATCACAACATGATTATGGCCTGAGGTGCCTACACTCAGAGATGTGTGTTTAGTGGAAGAGAAACCAGGTTGAAAAGGTATTGAGCCAAAACCTCGTCTGTAAAATTGTGAGCAGAAGAAATGCTAAAAAATAAGAATTAAAAGGCATTATAAGGGTGGGAAGGGATAGACTGGGATTTC